TAACGGGTATTAAAAATACTTAGAACTAGGGGCGCCTGGGTGGCTCAGTTGGTTAAGCGTCCGACTTCGGCTCAGGTCATGATCTCATGGCTTGTGAGTTCGAGCCCCGCGTCGGGCTCTGTGCTGACAGCCCGGAGCCTGGAGCCTCTTCAGATTCTGTGTCTTTCTCTCTCTCTCTGCCCCACCCCACTCACACTCTGTCTCTGTCTCTCAAAAATAAACATTAAAAAAAAAAGTTTTTAAAGACTTAGAACTAAATTATAATGAAAAGATTACATATGAAGACCTGTGAGATGTACATAAAATTGTACCAAGAAGGGAATTCGTAAATTAATTATATCATTTAATATTTATATTAATTACATTTAAATATTTTACACTGCTTTAAATATTACATTAAGAAAGACAGCTCAAAGTGAATAAGCCAAGCATCAATCTTAACTTAGCCTAGGAGAAAAAAATAAATCCAAGGAAATAGAAAGACATAATAAACATAAAAGAATAAGTCACTGGGGGCGCCTGGGTGGCGCAGTTGGTTAAGCGTCCGACTTCAGCCAGGTCACGATCTCGCGGTCCGTGAGTTCGAGCCCCGCGTCAGGCTCTGGGCTGATGGCTCAGAGCCTGGAGCCTGTTTCCGATTCTGAGTCTCCCTCTCTCTCTGACCCTCTCCCGTTCATGCTCTGTCTCTCTCTGTCCCAAAAATAAATAAACGTTGAAAAGAATAAGTCACTGAAATAGAAATTATATTGTGATAGAGAGGATCAAGGAGTTTATAAGATACTTCTTTGTGGCAAGATTAATCAAAGTATTCAAAAAGCACAAATGGAAATGAATAGAAATGACAAGGGGGACATAATCATAGATTCTGCAGAGAGTAAACAGACAAGAGAATATTATGAATTTTAGGACAATAATTTAAAGAATTTACATGAAGCGGATACGTACCCAGACAACTATGACTTAACTAAGGAATGGAAAACCTTAACATCCCTCTTACCACTAGAAAAATCATAGGTACAAATCTCGTCACAAAGAAAACACTGAGCCCAGATGTTCGAGGGAGATTTAAATCAAATCTTCAAGGATCAGAGAATTCCAATCTTACACTAACTCTTCCAGAGGATAAACAGGAAGGATTACTTCCTAAGTCATTTTATGAAACTAGCCAAAGCACAGAGCATGGTCAGCAAACACGTGAGAAAGGAAAACCGAAGGCCAATGTCAATCACAGAGACACATCAACAATAACCAATATGTGTTCAAACAAAATTAAGCAGTGGATATAGTGGAAAAGATAATACCTTGTGTTGGGCTTTTCTCAGTAATACTCGGCTGGCTTAACGTTAGCAACTAATATATTCACCGCTTTAACATTTCAATGGAAAAAAACAGAATCATCTTTAACGGGGTTAGAAAAAGCAGTTCACAAAATATTATAGCCATTACGTCAAATCCCCTTAACCAATGAGGAATAGAATGGAATTTCTTTAGGGGTTTCTCTGGCTCAGCTGTAAGAGCATGTGACTCTTGATCTCGGGGTTGTGAGTTCGAGTCCCGCGCTGGGTACAGAGATTACTAAAAAAAATATTAAATAAACTTAAAACAAAAAGAAGGGAACTTCCTTAACTACATAACTAGAATCCACAAAAACTCACAGCAAATATTATGTTTAGTGGTGAAATGTTATAGTATCGCCTTTAAGATCGGACAAGATGGGGTGCCTGGGTGGCTTAGTCAGTCGGGTGTCTGACTTCGGCTCAGGTCATGATCTCGCGGTTTGTGGGTTCGAGCCCCGCGTCGGGATCTGTGCTGACAGCTCAGAGCCTGGAGCCTGCTTTGGATTCTGTGTCTCCCTCTCTCTCTGCCCCTCCCCTGCTCACACTGTCTCTCAAAAATAACATTAAAAAAAAATTTTTTTTTTAAAAAAGATCAGACAAGATAAGGGTACCTGTCATTACCACCTTATTCAACATCAAACTGCAAGTCCTAGCCAGTGCGGCAAGAAAAAAACAGCAATAAAATGCATTAGAAAAAAAAAAAAAGACAGAGAAGGAAGAAATAAAACTGTTATAAATTTGTAGATGATGACCATGTACATAGCAAATCCAAAGGAGAGCACAGATAAATTATTGCAATTAATAAGTTAATTCAGCAGAGATGCTTGATATAACATCAATAAACAGAAATCAATTCCATTTCCCCAGAAAATAAAATTTTAAAATATCGTTTACACTAGGAGTCCAAAATTAAAATACCTGGGAATAAATCTTAAAGACACGAGAATTACCTTAAAGGTAACGATTACAAAATTTCGTCGAGAGACATTTAAGGCATAGGTTAACAGAAACATGACACATTCTTGAGCAGGGACACTCGGCGTGTATGGATGACTACTGTCCTCAAATTGAGCTATCGTCACTGCAGACAGAATCAAAATCCCAACAGGTTTGTTTTTTTTTTTTTTTAGTTCTACAAACAGAATTTTACATTTATGTAGTGCAGTAAGGGCCAAGAATTGTGGAGAATTCTTAACGAAAAAAAGGCGGCGACTTGCCCTGCAAGATACCAAGATTTATGACAAAACCATGGGAATTCGGATTTTGTCATATAACGCAGCGGCAGATAAGGGGCTACTTAATGTGAAAAATGAAACTACAAAGCTTTTATGGAGAGGGTATGGGAGAGCACCATTAGGATCTCAGGGCGAAAAAGGATTTGTTTAACGAGAGCAACTGCAACAGAGGGGAAAAGATGAACGAACACGTGTGGCTACGTTACGACGAACTGTTCATGGAAACATACCATAAATGCAGTGGGAAGACAGGTCACAAAATGGGAGACTGTGTTCGCGATACACACAACTCGTACAGGATTAGAGAGAGTATGTACCAAAGAGCGAAAGGAAAATCTTGTAAATATCGTAAAGGCAAAAATAAAGTCCGACCAAAAGTGGGCAAGGGGCACCTGGGTGGCTCAGTCACTGAAGCGTCCGACTCTTGGCTTCCGTTCGGGTCGTGATCTTATGGTTCATGAGTTCGAGCCCCACACCGGGCTCTGCGCTGACGGCATGGAGCCTGCTTAGGATTCTGTCTCCCTCTTTCTCTGCCCCTTCCCTACTCCCTCCCTCTCTCTCTCTCTCTCAAAATAAATAAATAAACTTCAGAAAAAAACGGGTGAGCGCTCTGTATGGGCACAGAAGGAGAAACCCATAAACTCACCAAAAAAAAAAAAAAAAAAAACCAACATAAAAAGATGAGCCACTTTATTCAGAAGCAGGGCAATGCAAAATATTTACCACGGTAAGATACGACGAGGCACCTCAGAGGAATCGGGTCATCGTCTCCTTTTGGGCTTAAGGAAATAGTGGTCAAAGGACAAGAACTCCGTGTGTTTATCCTGTCACACCAACTACCAAACCCTGCAAAGTCGCACCTGGTGGAGAGGCGCCCGGCAGGTGCTTTCACTGCATCCTGTATCAACCACATACTCTGAGGCGCTAAGTGACTTGCCTCTGAGCCTGCCTTCCACACGCAAACCAATCCACCCGGAGCCCACGCCTCCAACCACCTCCTCTATCTGGTTCTCACACTCCAGACCCCTATCCACCTGCCCTAACCACCCCAGGGCCAGGGACCGAAAACCTGGACACCGTCAGTCCCTCTGGCCCCAGAGCCTGCGCAACTCATTCAAGAGAGCCAACTGTCCACCCGCTGGCCCTGTCTCGACAGCTCTGTTCCAGGGAAACCACAATAAAGGCTCTTGCCCACGTTTTCCCATTGTTCCCTCTGCCTGATGGACCCCGGCGCCTCCCCCTTGCAGCCCTGCACGGGCGGCATGGTGCATCCTGTCCTGAGAATCCAGTTGTAGAACCAACTCTCTTCTCAGGGGCAGTCATTGCCCAAAGAGTCTCTCGGGTGGCTCCACCGCACGTGAATGATAATAAGGCCTGTGTTTTGAGACACACCTCCATGTCCTTGGATCCCCAGACCTACCAATGGAGAGGGATCGTGGAGCAGAGACATTCAGAGACATCTCCGTGAATGTGGACAACTGGCCTCTTCCTAAAAGCACCAGGCAAACCCACTTCCAACATCCCACCATGCTCTCCTGGAGTTTTCTAGAGCGGAGGACCCTCACCCTGGTAGGGTCTCTTGGAATTTATTTGCAAACAGACACGTCCTCCGTGGGGTCATTTCCTTTCTGCTCACGGTGCTAGATCACCGGGCGGAACGGCGGGAGCATTGAGCGAAACCACCCCCAGAATCAAGGGAGGGGGCGGGTCGGCTCCCCTGTAGGCGCAGCTGATACACCACAGGCTGATGGCTGCACAGAGGGACCGCGACTGCCCCGAAGGACTCAGGGTGGGGGGTGCTAGTTGAGGTTCTGACTGTGGCAGATCTGTGGGGAGCAGACCAAGGTGAAGTGACCAGGAGACTGAGCACAGACCTGTTCACCCGGAGGCCAATGCTCTGGGTGGCAGAGCCTGGTGCTGGGTAGTCAAGGTGCCCCGGGGAACAATGTCAGGTCCTGTCTGTCCCGTGGCTAGAATGGCACACACACACGGGCATCGGGAGTGTGGGGATTTAGTGACTTCCAGGTTGCAAAGCGGGGTGATCCGAGACAAGGAGGGAGTGGTAGAAATAAAATCTAAGAGGCCCATTAGATGCCCTCCGTTTCCCAGGCTTGAAGAGATTTCTCAGGGCTGCAAAGGGAGCCTGGATCTGCCATCATCACGCGGAACGTGGTTTACCACTCACCGAGTGCCTTTCACGCACTGGGCCCCGGATGGAAAATAAAACCAGAAGAGGCCACGCCTGGTGAACCAAGGAAAGCGCAGGACTAACGTTACCACCAGTGTCCGAGGGCCTGGAACCTCAATGAGCCGTTTCAATTTTTCACTGAGCCAATGAACCCACTGGGGAAAACGATGAAGAAGATGAAAAAACATGGCGGCCCCAATGGCTCGGGATGCCGGAAGAAAGCTAGAACGACGGTCTTACCTGTTAGTGACGTGGTCAACGAGATGCTGCTTGAACGTGAGGCTCCACCTCTTAATGAGGTTCAGCAGAGATGCTTTAAGGGGTCGCACATCAATTTTCATCCAGCCGTCAAACACCTTGACGGGCTCCAGGCCGCACACTTCTTCGTAGAGCTTTTCATAGGAGTCGATCTGTGCCTTGAACTGATGGAGGAGAGGGGGGTTCTCTGGAAGGCCATCGTCTATGTGGGCTTCCATTTCCTCGGGTGTGAGGACACGTCCATACAACAGAAACTGACTCAGAACCTCCTTCCGGTCCGCCACGTAGAGGTAGGAGTATTGGCTGAAAGTGTTCCGATAGCCACTGCAGAGGGCCATCATGCTCTGAACCCTGTCCAGGAGCGTGCTCCTCAAGCTGGCCAAGTGGGCCACGCCCTCCATGTCAACCTGGGGTGGGGGGCAAGACCACAGCAGGCGGGTTACACCAACACTTTGCACGAGGTCGCGGGGGAAGGCGGGATGGTTGTGAATTTGGTACCTGGTAGTGGAGAGAGCCGTTCTGTGGGGAAAGCCGTGGCACCAAAGACGATATTCCGAAAATGTTGGCCACCAGACCCTCGACGGTGTCGTAGAAGCCACCCTTCACTCCAGACTCCAGGGATGGAGAGAAAACTAATTCTGGTATCACTAAGCACAGCTGTGCCTCAAATATCGGGGTGAGTCCAGCTTTACTTTCTGAAACACAAGGAAAACACAAACACACACAAAACAAAGAAGGATGTCAAGACGGGCAAAGCGCCATACCCGTTCTCAAAGCACTCAGAACCTTTTTTCCCTTAACACAGGCTGTTTGGGTATAGGAAAAATGGAAATGTAAAATTTGCTAACCCCCCGGAAAAGGTGAGGGGGGACGGTCTTGCAGTGTTTACCGACAGGGGAGCCACTGACATTTCGAATAGGCCAATTCTTGCACAGGGCCGTCCTGGGCATTGTAGGACATTTACCCTCCCGTCCTCGGAGAGCACGTCCCAGTGACTGATCAACCCAAGCCAGTCCCCTTCCACGTTCCCAGGTGCCTGGGTCAGGGGAGCGAGGCGGGGGCGGTGGAGAACAGGTTGATTTTGCACAGCTCATTTCTAGGAAGCGGCTGACTTCTTCCTCGGCACTAGCCACGCGACCGCATCGGTTGTCAGTAGGTGAACCGAGGCGTTCTTATCAATGGTCGCGTAAGCAAATAAATGAAAGACAACTCACAACCCTGGCCGTTCATCCTGCTCCACGAAAACAGAACTGACTTTAATTCTGTAGTCCTACGGTGATAAAAAATTTAAAAACAGCATACATAATTAATGGATCCCTGATTACTTGCTAGACTAACTTGCCCTGCTAAATTTAAATCAAAATATAACACGGAGCAAGATGTTCCAAGTACGAGATTAGCGCTTCAACTTTTATTAATAACCACTTATATTCCCAGGTTGTCTTAACTGGAAATATTCGGGAGACTGTTCCGCACAGCATGCTGCGGGTGGTGGAGACTCATCGGAATCCTCATCCCCTTCCTCCCTAGAAGCAGAGGTCAGGGTGGGCACGATTCCCTCCCCAGTGGGATGTGGGGAAAAGCGAGGGCTGCCGCCTCTGGGCTGCAGCCCTTGAGACAGCAGGGGAGTCATCTCTGTGCTCGCTCTTTTCTCCGTTCACGGACTAGAGCCTGGATGTGGCAGTGACCCAGCTCCATCACAGAAATGAAGACAAGGCAGGAACACGAACGTGGGGGAACCACAGCATGGCAGGAACCCACCTGCTAACCTGAACGCTCACCTGAGTCTAGAACTTGGGGGATAGACCTTTTTGTCCTTTAAGCCACGTTATTGATGGAGTTCTCGTTACCATAGCTTAGCCACTCACCCCAACTAAAGTAACTGGGGGGATCCTCAAAGAGAAGTAGGACTAGGGCCTTGCCTTGAAAACTGTAGGGATGATACGGGCGCCTGGGTGGCTCAGTCGGTTGAGCGTCCGACTTCAGCTCAAGTCATGATCTCACACAGTTCGTGAGTTCGAGCCCTGTGCGGGGGGCTCTGTGCTGACAGCTCGGAGCCTGGAGCGTGTGTCAGATTCTGTGTCTCCCTCTCTCTCTGCCCCTCCTCCACTTGTGCTCTCTCTCTCTCTCTCTCTCTCTCTCAAAAGTAAATAAACATTAAAAAAAAATTGCAGGGATGATAAATTTGCATGACTGGATTCAGGAGGGTCCCATCAAATGCAAATTTAACTTAAGGGAATACACGGTAATTATGCCATCATGGAATTGTTTTTTAAAACCCTATAACATCACACTTTGCATTACGTACTCAGGACATATTCTGCATTACTCTCTGTATGAGATACTGAAAACTTCATAGACCAGGTTGCGTAGGGTTTCCAGGAGGTAAAAGACTCACGAGACTGTTTTGACCGTGAGATTTCTGTCCCAGGCGCTCTCATGAGAACCGAATCCCTACATGAGACGGAATGACAACATCGTGACCGTAAAAACCAGATTGTCTCAGTACAGGTCAGTCACTTGGGGACTCAGGAGAGGGAAGAGCATTTCTCGGTAGGGTGGGTAGCATCTAACCTGGGCAGGGTTTGCATTCTGAGAGGCGACAGGGAGTCCAGCCCAAGCCCTGGGAACGGTCCTGGTCTCACCAAGCACAAAGAAGTGGAAATGATAAAGGAAGCAGGGGAGACAGCCCAGGTCGGGAGAGCTAGATGGGCACCGGTCGTGTGTGGAGTCACTATGTTTAGGGACCATTTCTTATGGCAAGGGTGTTGGGGCATCTTCCTGGACCTTCTAGAGGACATTTGGTTGGTTCTCTATGATGAGCACTGTCAGCGCTGCTCCCCAGAAGCCAGTTCTCTGGTCTCAGTGCCTGCGCTCTGTGCCCCACTGGCTACTCGCCCCCGGGCTCTGGAAGGTGCCCCCCCCCACCCCACCACCCCAACCTTCCTGACTATACTGGAGGCTGTTTCTTGCTGCCTGATCTCCTTGATTTGGAGCTTCCTGCAACCCTGCAAACAAAGACTGTGCCTCTGACCTCAGTCACTCCACTTACCAAGACCACATGGGGTTTGCCTGTCTGAGCTACACCCAGCACCGAGCCTCGCTTCCGTCTGTATTCTCAGCCCAGGGGCCTGCACCTGCCGTCTTCTTTGGGCTGGGTATCTGGACACTGACCTTGACCTATCCATTTGACCTCTGGATTCTCTCCTTGGGTTGGACTTAATATCTTAAACTCTCATCTCACCTTTATCCTGTGGCTTCAACCTATTCCCCTCGGTCTTTCCCTTTTGATTAATTCTTCAGGGTGATCCTTGCTTAGCTGCTCAGAAGCTATCAGGATATGAAGGGTTTGTTTTGTTTTTGTAAGTAGGCTTCGTGCCCAGTGTAGAGCCCAATGCAGGCCCTGAACTCACCACCTCAAGATCGTGACCTGAGCTGAGATCGAGAGTCGGACACCCAAATGACTGAGCCACCCAGGCGTCCCAGAATGCTTCCGTCTTTCCATCCCATGACTTCCTAGCCAAAGTTGGCCCTGACTGTATCCTCGACACTGTGCACCTTAACTCAGTTCTATCCATCAGAAATTCAAAACGATTTTTAACCACTTCAGACAATGCCCGTTACCCTTCTTAACATTCCTTTTCCTCCTGAAAGTGACCTCATCCCCAGCTGGTCTGACCCTTTTCACATAGAAACACTGTTTCTTCCACTTGACCTGGCTACTGCCTGTGTTCTCGAAAGGCCACAGAAAGAGAGTACATTAAGCTTGAAGGCACAAAACGTCCCCCTCCCAATACCACGAGGCAAGTCCAGACTCGAACCCACAGCCCTGAGATCAAGAGTCACACACTTTCCCGACTAAGCCAGCCAGGCACCCCCTGAAGCTTTATTTGGATTGAAGTGGCATTTATGGTTTTGCTTTTGCTAAGGGCTTCACTATCTGAGAGCCTGGTTTATCACCTGAGTTTTAAAGAGAGAGAAATCTTTTCTCTGGGAACAATGCAGAAACTCAATACCTTTGCTATTCTCCTGTGTGTAGCTCACAAAACATCCACAACATTTTGGGAAAAGTCACAAAGCACTCGATCACACTTCATTTTTGTTCAACAGGTGCCACTGTTATCTTTGTGGCAATAACACACATCCATAAGCCAGTACATACCGGTGTTTTCCAGAAGATATTTGAGGGAGCACTCAATGGCAAGAAAAAATCCATCCAGCAACATATCATCTATGTACTTAACATAAGCCTTCCAGATATTAGAGGTTGGGTCCGCGGCAAACAGACCTAGGTTTTCCTACAAAATAAAGAAGAACGGATTGAAACCATGTTGAATAATATGGAAGGACTGGTCTAGTTCTCATTGACGGGAATGAAAACAACCTAGAGGGGGGAGAAAAGCATTCTCGTGAAAAGTTTGCTATCACATGGATGTTGAATCCATACTGTCTAATGGGTTTAATCACCGATCGAAAGGATCACAAAGTTAATCTGTGAAGGGCAGATGGGGTCTCATCCTGTCCCTGAAAAAGGAGGAGGGGGCCGGGCCACTTTCCCAGGAAAGATGGGACATAGGGTGTTGATTTAGAGGTGCTGACGGGTACGCCGTGGAGAAGCGATATCAAGACGGGAGTCAGGGCAGAGAGAAAAAGGGACGCTATGGATAGAGGGCTTGGTGATTGAAGGCGTGTAAGAACTCTGGGGTTCAAGCAAGTAAAGCATTTCCTGGAGAGTCCTCAGACATGAGCTGGAGGGGTGTGCTCAGGGCAGTTGCCATTAAAAGCAGCCGGCTGAGTGATTTAGAAAACGTACACGCATCAAGGAATGCATGCGTGCTCTCTCCCTCCTCCCTGCTCTGGTGGCGTGGGGCACACACATCCCACCTACCGCCATCATTTTCATCATTAAGCCTTCTGACATCGACTTTCTACTTATCGCACATTTTCAAAGAAAGTGGTAACTACTCTGAAGAGGTACGTTTTTTAGGCGACTCACGCCCCTTTACAAACATTTCCACGTACAAACCCCCCTGAATTAAAAAAAAAAAAATCTCGGGGCGCCTGGGTGGCGCAGTCGGTTAA